GATCGTCGCCGCGGATCGTCCAGAAGCACTCCCCTTGCCCTTTCCCCACCCGCGCCTCGATCGCCGCGGGGGAGAGATCCGCCTCGGCGGGGGGTCTCGCGGGGGCGGGGGATCGCCCCCCTCCTTTTGCCTCCTCGCCGGCGTCTTTTCCGTCTTTTCGCCCTCCCACGAGCCCGCGCGCGCTGTTCAGCCTCGCCACCAGGCCGCGCACAAGCGCCTCCGCATTGCCCATCACCCCATGCGCCCCCTCTTTGGCGTTCAGCGCCTGAACGAGGATCTCGATAGGAACCCCTCCGCCGGCGCCGGTTTTTTCGCCTTTACCTTTTTCATCTTCTTCCCCTCTTCCCGTGAGGCCGTCGATCCGCCGTCGGAGCGCGGCGTAGCGGGGGGAGCGGTCATCGGCGAGCTGACGAAGCTGCGCGAAGGCGGCCCGGCTCGCCTCCCCTTGGCCATTCCAAAACACCGCGACGAGGAGGAAGACGAAACCCCTTGAAAAAGAAGAAGACGATCCCGCCCCTTCCCCTTGCCCATCTCCTTCTTCCATTCCCTCCCCTCTACGGAGAATATGCTGCTCGATGGTTGCCGCGGCAGCATCAGCGAGGGCCTCAGATGAGCTCCCCTCTCCCCCTACCTCCTCCTCAAGAGGGGTGCAAAGGCAGGTGTCGAGGTGCTCCCGCATTCCTTGTTGGAAGGTGTCGTTGAAAACCCATAGCGCGAGATCCTCCGCCCTCCGATCGTAAAGAACTATCCCAACCACCTCAGCCATACCGAAAGTAGGAGAAGAAGAAGAGAGGACGCGTGATCTCGTGCAATCGTTCTCTAAGCTAGGGCAGGGATGAACGAACTATGCTCTGTTCGGGATACGAGGTGTTGGGTGTAAACTGAAGCACACACACACACACAAGGTAGGTATCCCAAGGTTTCTTTTGAGAAGTCCAAAACCCTTTTGTGGACAAATCGTAATAGGAAATGGAAAAAATAACCCGTGAAGCAAGCCTCAATAAATGAGGGTCCTACCCCATAAGAAGAAAACGACAATGACGAAAAGAGAACGTAAGGAAATTAATAAAGAATATCGCCTCATTTGTTTACTACAAAGCTTTTTCAGTGGGTTGGGTTTGCATATGGTTATACGGCAAAAGACGGACACCAGTGGGGATGACAGAAAAGATAGAAGAAGGGGAAAAATATTACGATATATATATTTATTGAGGGGAATCCGTACTAACTCTTCAAGCAGCAAGACGCATAACACATTATGTCTAAAATTTACTCGTCGCACACGCTGAGGAGGGGGGTTCCTTTTGATAAGCTGGTTGCTTGGGTTGCCTTCGCCCCTATCTATTGACTCCATGCTAACGAGAAGGTACATCGATCTCTGCATTGTTTCACTCCTGCATCTGGATCAGTTTTTTATTTCCTTCTTCTAATTTCGATCCGCTTGAAAAACACATAAAGCTCGACGCAAAGATGGTGTATTTCGTAGCAACGTTGAACGCAGTAATAGGAGCGATATTTCTCAAGGGCAACGCCTATTGCGCCATTCCCCTCTGGGAGAGCTACAGAAATACACAGTGTTTGATCAAAATGAGGTGTGGAGCTGCTCTTCTTTGGGTTCGATGTATATTGCTTAGACAGCCTTGGCATTGCTTTAGCAGTAAAATACATAAATTTTGATTTTTTTACATACCGATAAGTCGCTGCTTTCGTAGACGGGGATATATTGGCGTCGCCATCATTGCCCATGCGTGGCTAGTTAAACTTTTCAGATCCGGACGCAACGTTCCTTTGGCCTCTTTTAGATAGATTACCAAACCAAGAAGCACACCCTACACGTGTAATGAATATGACAATAGAGAACAAGGTTGATCTCTTAACCCTCACCGTAGGGTAAATTGGAATTCATCTCATTTACGCAAGCTTTATCTCAACCGAACCTTTAATCCCCTATTATGTGCGTACAATCAGATTTGCCTTGTCTAATCGAGTCTTTCCAAGCTTTCTAACACAGTACTGATTTGTTTAGTTTTTGAAGTTTCCAGAGGCATCATAAGAAGGGCGAAAAAGGAAACCTAGCATATAACTGTATACCCATAAAGGATGGCTCAATAAATGTAAAATTTAACTACCCAAATTCATAAAGACTTAATACAAAAAATATACACATGTATAGAATACAGAAAGTACATAGAAAAACAGTCAAAAACGCCGGAATGTAAAAAATGAACTATAACAATCAACTTCAGCAAAGTTCTTATTAAGAGAGATGATTCTTATCTATGCACTCCAACTCTGAAAAGCCATAGCTTTCAAAATACGTTGAATCGCTTGAAGATCTTGTCTTTTCTTACAGAATAAGGTTTCTCGTTTATGTCATGAATAAAATACCGATAAGTGGAAAAATGCATGAATAAAAAACACCTTTCGCCGTTGTGTAATTATTATCGTTCTGTTTTTCAATTCTCAATGAAAGAATAACCACCGACGTACTGCAATTGATCACGGAAGGCGCTCTACTTCACCTCTTTTAAGCAAAGGCACACTTCCGTGTATATAATTCAACCCGTTTATTCTATTAACTATGATAAGTAGAAACACATAATGTGAAACAAAAGCCTACCCATAAAAAGAATGCAAAAGGGTTTGAACCCATACACATATTCGATATAGTTTTGTGGCATTGTATATCCACATAAGGGTACACAAGTAACATTTTTTTTCACAATATCTCTAATCACTTTAACAATTTCCGCTCATCATCCCCAATCTTCTCCTTTTCCCACTTACACAACTTTCTTTGGCTTCAAGGGAAAGAAAGAAAACGACACAGAACAACTTTTAACCCATTTTGCATCCGATTTTTCCCCTTACATATATATACATACATATATATATAATAACAATAATGAAATGTGCGACCGCTACGCGACCTGACGCAACCTCCTTGCTTAGATCCTTCGCAACGCGGCTTTTTTCTTATCCGTCGTCTTCTTCTGTGCAGCCTTGGCCGAGTGCAGCTCCATCATCGCGGGGCTCGCGCTACAACCGGCCCCACCATGCTCGCCCGACCCTCGCACCACCGCGCTCACCCCTCCAGCCTTCACCTCGTCGTCTTTTCCTTTCCCACTTGCGAAGTACGCGTTGTTACCTTCTAGGCTGCGGAGGGGGTGAGGGAGTTCCGCGTGCGGGTCGTCAAGAGGACCTGCGATGGAGGCGGTTGCGACCTGGGGTTTGGAACTCCCTTCCGTATCGAAAGGCCCACACGCCGCGAGATGATCCGCGCCCTCCATACTCCTGACAAAATGATCATGCTCGTTCGAGGCCGTATAAGGCGTTGTGGAGGAGGTTGGACGTCTTTTCGGGGCCTCATCGGGGTGGGTAATGCGAGGAACCCCTGGCGGACGCTTGGCGTGAATGCTCGTGAGCATCCGCGCCTTTCGCTCGTAGGAGGAGTAGTCCTCGAGGAGCAGCCGTCCGGCCTCCTCGTTGAGTGCGCTCTCCGGGTTCGGCTCCACTAACAGGCAGCGAATCACAAGCATAATGTGCTGCAGACCGATCTGTGGGTTCCAATCCTTTTTGAGCGCATTCACGCAGATCTCCCCACGATCGGAGACGTTGGGGTGAAATATCTTCGTGCGAAAGTACCCACTCGGCGGGACCTCAGGGTAGCGCTCGTCGAAGACGAGGCAGACATGGAAACGGCCCTCTGAGAAGGGCGTGCCCTCCGGGCCGTCGAGGTCGAAGCGCAGCACGCTGAGATCCTCTGAAGGGTAGAGGTGCATGCCGTCGAGAGGCTGTGAGCGCACCTTGGCGAGCTGCCGCATCATCGCCCGCATCCCGGTTGCCGTGAGGGGCATTGGGTTGTCTAGTCGCTAGTGTATTACTCAGGTGCACACGTTTAAGGACGTCCTACCACACTCCTGTCGTGTCCTGGAGATCACAACAGCTGAAAGAGGGATATATATATATATATATATCGTGAAATATATACGAGATCTGAAAAGAAATATAATGATAATATTGACTGGGAAAAAAAAAGAAACGAATGTATGGAATATAACCCCTTTTTCTCCTCGAAGAGAAACGAAAACAGAAAATCTGATGGATGCAGGAAAGAAAAGCAGATTTACGGTCATATCATTTTTTTAGTAATCATCATAAAATGAATGCACACTTCGCACCATTGAGCTTTAAAACAATAAAGTCTGATGCGTATGACGACAAATCACGAAAGCATTGATCTTTTTTACAATAAAATGAGACATCAGGATAAAGTAAAAGAATTCATAATGAATAAGCAAGCAATGCGATGTGTTCGATCATAGATCCTAATATCCAAAAGCATAGAGAGGGACAACCTTTTCTCACTACAACCTAACACATCGCACAATGAAATTGAAGAGGAGCGTACTCAACCTTCACTAATGCGTACATACATATTTATAAACACATAAAATGCCACTTTAAGTTATTCGGCGTAATTTATTTTGAACATAATCATCGAAGCATGTTAAATACATATCATTCCTGGGATTCAATTGGCATTTTCTTCACCCAGATGAATGTGGTATCTCGCGTCGCTGCCTCGTACTGCTCTACATCTCGAAAAGTGTAGTAGAATTCAAGTAGAAACACCCGCCACGCGAGCTTCCAATATTCTTCCTCTTCTTCCCCTTCAATAGCTCTGCGCCCGGCTGGTTCGCCCCGTTTTGTGATGCGCTCTTCTTGGTCTATTGTGAGAAATACGTCCTGCTCTTGATCCTCTTCTCGCTCGATGAGGCGCCGGTGGTGCTCTTCTTGCAGGATTAATCTATGGAAGGCGGTGTGCGCGTTAATGCGAGCGCGCTTCCCTGCGCAAGACATGAAGCACCCAAAAAGAACCGGAAATCGCGCGACCTGCTCTGCAAGCTGAATAGCGATGACGCCGTGCGAATACGATGTGATCAACTGCATGCGCAGGATGCTGATGCGGTCTATCTTCTCCATCGCCTCTACTAACCGTTCAAAGAGCTGATGACGCTCCAAACAAAGCTCGCTAAGGAGATCCTGTCGCGCCGCATCCTCACGGGCCTTTAATTGCACTTGCTGGTTGAAATGAACTACCTTTCGCGCACGATGCCTCGCAATCCAAGCACGTAAAAAACCGTATGTACGAGTTGTGCTGCCATTTGGCGCCACGCATCGCAGGAATTGTCCTAAAGTTTTGTAATGTTTGCTAAAGCATTCATCCTCTTCATCCAACAGCCGCCTCCGAGCTAAAAATTCCCTTACCGACAAACGTTCAATCGCTAATAACAGTGCTGGGTGAGCGTAGTACCTCAAATGTGCCTGGGAGACACCGCTACACCTTTGGTGTCGTGCTAAGCTTCTCTCGCTATTTTCTAGCTTTCCACCTCGATCGGGATCGCCTCCTCTAGGTGGAGGAGAGTGACCAAAATGAGCTGGAAGTGGCGTCTTGAGAAGAATCTCAAGCCATTCCTCTACGATGCACTCCCGAGCGAGGCACTCATCACGCTCCAAAAAGATTATCCATCCACCAGGCGAAGAATACCTCGGCCGTTCTGTGAATTCGGATTTGGTGGTGTTCATTTGACGAAAGCATACACTGCAATACACGCACGATGTGCCCTTGACGCGAGACTCTTTATCATCAGCGGCGTTTTCGTCAGTTGTCTTCCTGCAAGCCCTGCGGTCGTACGAAATCAGCGGCTGTGGCGCGAAAGGCCTCGACGGGTGTGGAATTGAGGTCTTGTAAGACACATTAGACGGTGAAGAGCTCTCCGAATTGCTGCGGGATAAAAGCGGTAACTCACTTTCGCATCTACACCTCGAACACCCACCGCCATCTGCTGCGCTGCGGCAGAACTTTAGGTACATAACGGGCCGCACCCCGTACCTTCCTCGCCAAACGCCGCCTAACTCCCGCGGTTTGGAATCGGCATTGAGAATTCTCACTGTGTTGAGCGAAGGCAATACAAAATTCTCAGATATAGAGCGTGGGGTCCCTACTTCGTTCCCTACATCCCTGCAGGAATTCAATAAACACAAAGGCAACCCTCTTTCTTGAGGGTTAATCAAAGAAGGTGCCGGGCGTTGCGTGAATAACGACATCAAGCGCGCAACGTTCTCGTTATTCCTCATCCATGGCTCATCATCTGTGAAGACAGTTGAGGGATGCTGAACATTGTCCATTTCGAATTCCTAATTATCTTTTGTGTTGAATATTTTGGTTTGCTTTCCATGAGCCTTTGGTTGGGAGCTTTCTTGTGAAAGCGAAAAGCTAGCAGCACAAATAAGCGAAGCAACAACAAATCCGCAGAATAGACGTGCTATTGATTAAAGTACGTATGTTGTGAAGACTACTTCATCACCAAATACCCCACACTTCTCTGCACGAAAGATAAGCAAGTATACTTAATGATGGGTGTTTCGCATAGTGGACCAGTTTAAGAATAACGCATTTACTCTCGTCTCCATCCATCTCTATTTTGAAATGAAACCCTTTTTCCAAAATACCCTCTTTCCTTTAAACAGGGCAGTAGGATAGAGGGGTGGGGGGGGCTTCTCAAAATAAAAGCAAATAAATAAA